TGCAACGACCTAAACCGATTGATGGCAATTATATTTTGAAATGCGGGAGATCTGAAGTTAAATCAAGATATCTTGACTAAGAAGTAAATTGTGATAACTTATAACGGAAAGAGAACTTACTTGCAGCAAAGCATTAAGTCAATTTGATGAATATTACATATGTACTGCAGACTGATGAGATTTCAGCTCATACTCTAGAGATTAGAAGTATCAGTAAGCCAAGAAGAAGAGAGAGAGAGAGAAATAAAGTGAGTTAGAGATAGAGAAAGAGATAATGATAGAGATAGAGATAGAGATAGAGATAGAGATAGAGATAGACATAGAGATACAGATACAGATACAGATACAGATACAGGTACAGATACATATACAGATACATATACATATACATATACATATACATATACATATACATATACATATATATACAGATACAGATACATATACAGATACAGGTACAGTTACAGTTACAGTTACAGATACAGATATATTCATTCATATTCACATATAAAAGCTGCTTTAAGTTTCGTCTGTTTAACCTGGGAGCATACACATCTTATTATATTTATACGCCTAGGTATTCATGGTTAATTATCGTTTAAGCAACGTCTGATTTTGATCTCACGGATGCAATTACAGGCACTTCCCTAAATGTTTCGACGGGTAATATCCGCATAGGCTAGGCGCAAAGGCAGAGACCTAGGCAGAGGCAACAGCCGGAACTACCATTTACGTCTCTATTTAGACCGTGATCATATTGTAATCGTGGTAGATACAGCTCCATATAACATATAGTATATGATGGCAACAGGCTTTGTTGCTTGTTGCTTGTTTGTTGTTGCATGTTTGCTGGCAGCTAGTCGAGCGTATGGCGATTTATGCATCTCTCCTATGATGGCAAGATGAACGGAGATGGCGTAAATATTAAATTAAGTAATTACAATTAATTATAATAAATTATGCTGCATTATAATACAATGTGAAGCTGTCTGTGTCGCTGTCGCTGTTGCTGTCGCTCATTATGTCACTCTGACAATTAGATTACCAGCATGTTTGAAAATATAATTTTCTTTTGTTGCCAACTCCACAGTGTCGAGAAAACGCTTTTCGAAAGTAACCCGGGCCCGCCCGCTGCCTAAGTAGTGCAATTAACGAATACCGAACACCGAATACCGAAAGTAAAAGTGTGCAAACCTCAGAGGCGCTGCAAAGGGTTTGCATGTGCCAACAGATACTATCTGTTCAGATGAATGGGCCGGCGTATCCAATTAGCCGAACACTTTTGCATAACGTGACCAGCTGCTGGCCAGCAATGCCATGAGGTATGGCTAGACACATACGCTATGTATCTCCAATTGCCATTTGGCTTGCGTGCAAATCAATAACATATAGATGTGGATGCCATGCCAAGTCAATGAGCTTCAGTAAATGAAAGTTGCAGCTGGTTGCAGTTCATTTCGCTGCTGATGGCATGCACCTTGAGAATCGACATGATTCTCATGATATGCTGCTGGCGCCAGCGTCTGCCCTCAAACAAACAAGCAACAGCAACAGCAACAGCAACAGCTTCAACTTCAACTCCCCGTTTCAGCTTTAGCTTTAGTATCATGTGTCACTGTCAGCCATGGCGTAGCTGGCTAACCTTCAATCTTACGTTTAGCTTACTGGCGACTGCTTCAAGCTTACTGCTGACTGCTGACTGCTGACCGGCTATGACGTCAATGGCTTTGTTCTGACGCTCTACGTGATGTATGCGCAATCTGAGCGCCAGGTCATGTAATCACGACGGCCAGACCAGCCGTAGCGGTAAATGCGAGCTACATACATCTTGTCATGCAGAATGCATGCATGTATCTGCATATGTATGTATGTCTGTCTACTGAGGTTGTAGCATGCAGTTAAGCATATTATAATTGGTGTATTTAATTCGTTTTTAAATCAAATACTTCACAATTAAATTGTTCAAGTGTTGGAAAACGCATTAACATTCACAAATATGAAACGAACTAAGTAAGCAACGCGATTTATCAATCTATTATATATTAAATCTATTATAAGTTTCTGTTTCTGTTTGAATACTTAGCAATTTTGTAAGCTTAAGTGTTGAACAGTGTTTTCAGAAACAGTGTTGTACAATGTGCAATCATTTTTATGTAATAAGACCAACTACAGTTATGTCTCATTTAGATAGTTTCTGATTTTTAGTGTTAAAAACGATTGCAAACAGTGTTGTTAAACATATTTGTGATAACAATTTCGTCATTGAAATATTTTGTAGCTGAATCTGTAGTGTGTTGATATTTAACTTAATTTTCTGCTGACTGCAAATAGTGTTGTTAAGGATATTTTTAATTAAAATATCGTCATTGACATATTTTCCTAATTTTCTGCTGATTTTATAGTGTTAGAAAACGATTGCAAACAGTGTTGTTAAACATATTTTTAATTAAAATAGCGCCATTGACATATTTTCCTAATTTTCTGCTGATTTTATAGTGTTAGAAAACGATTGCAAACAGTGTTGTTAAGAATACTTTTTATTAGAATGTCGTCATTGACATATTATTTTAATTTTCTGCTGAATTTACAGTGTTAGAAATATTTGTAATTACAATTTCGAAATGCCCAAACGAATTGTTCATAAAATGCATTCAGACTGACGCTGTTATACAACACTGTTACAAGCCCAGTAGCACGTACATTAGTAGATGCGTTGAGGGCTTGGGTGTTTCATAAGCGTGCATATTTGACTGGCATTATTCTAACTGGGCTCAGGCTGGGCGTGTGCTTTGTGTGTTGGATTGGCAAGGGAATTGCATAATTTATTGCCTCTGTCTGGGCTTAAGCACTTAATTAGGGTTATTAAAAATATTTGGCAAATGTGGAAGTCGTTGTCGAGGCTGTCGTCGTTTTTGTTGTCCAAGTCCAAGTCGTCACCATCAGCATCATCATTTGCACATGCTTATTTAACAATTTGCGTTTCGTGTTTGGTTGGGTTGAGCTTTTTGTGTTTGTGCAGTGGAATTTGCCTGTTCGGATATTGGCAATTCGGAGGCGCAGGCTTCATTAGCGTGAGGCCTGTGCCAATGGTAAACAACTAGCTGAATTGTTGCTGTTGCTGTTGTTGCTTGAAGTTGAATGAACGCAAACTCTGCAAATCATTTGCCAGCAACGAACGATACGAAACAATTAAGTGGTAATGACATTTGAGTAGCCTTAATGACTCCATTTTGCCGCATTCAGCTTGACTGATGGATGTTTGGGCGTTTGACGAGTCTCTTAAGTGGTCTCTCTTAGCAGTCTCTTGCCACTTACCACTGGTCACTAAGTGCTGCCACAAGCCACTAACGCGCGCTCAACTCTTTTGCTCCCCCTCCTCTGCCCCATCAGGTTGTAGCTTACCTGATATCGGCTTATCAATGCCGCATTGCAAAAGTGTGTCAGCTAGTCGGTTTAATCAACGGATCGTCAATTAGGCGACCCCATTGAATGGCGGCGCTGACGTTGCGGGTGTATTTCATCTATTAATTCTAAGCACGCAACACACACACACACACACTTCTTTGTATTCATGAGTGTTTAGCTAAAAGCTACAGTTGCGGACAAAAGTCTGCAGACTTCACACTGCTATAGTCCGTCTCTATAGACAGACCTACCTTACTATATTATAGCTTACGTATCTATCTATAGGCTTTGAGTTGGTTTGTCTTTATATAAATTTATTAAGTTTATTAAGTCACATAACTTTATCAGATATTTCAGTTCTTTTGGTGCTTTTTAATATAATCCTTCCCATTTAATTATGCTAAGTGTATTGAATTACGTACGTTGACTTTTGCCTGGCACTGTGCGGAAATTAGATTTGCATGTTGTGGCGCTGTTTGTGAGAATCGCATCCAAATTCGGACAACCTGAGCCGATGTTTGACTGCCGTTGTGCATGTTTTACTTTCTCAACAGTCTGAGCTGCCTAAAAAAGTCGTCCGGCCTTTGTCGTATATGTGAATGAGATGTGTTTAAATACACTTAGATACACACACACACACATGCACATTCAAATATATATTTATTTTGAGTCAATTTCGTTTACGTTTTGTTTTTGTTTTTGTTATTTGTGGGGCGCGGCCGTCAAGTTCTCACCGTAGCATTATTATTGCCCAACCCATTTTGGAATTGCGTTTTAGGTTTTAACTCTCCATTGATGCACACCCGCCTAAATGGCAGTTTAATTTAATTTCAGCTGAAATATATGCGGCTAAAAGCGCTTGGCATGTAAATCAAATCATGTCCATAAATGTAAACCAGTTAAGCGTGTGTATTTTAATTGCGCGAAGATGAATCAGATTTATTCTTATTAGATATAAGTAGCGCCTGGTAACAGTTGCTTAAGCTGTTTGCCTTATGCATCACTGAGAATACATTTAGTCCAGAAGATATCTATTATCTATTTAAGGTTGATATCACTACTGACTAGAGCGAGTTTTCATGTGAATAAGGTTCTCAGCTAGAAGGGAGCAGTCAAGTTGAGCTCACAATAACTTTCCCTTCAACGCTTTTCTGACTTGGGTCTATTAGACTGTCTATAAGGTGTATCTATTGCAGCTGTGCCCATAATCTAATTGCAGTTTATGGCAGCTGGCGCTGCGTATGCATAATTATGTATACGCGTGCAGTCAAAAATGAGGTTTACACCTCTTTTTTTCAATAATTGTTCAAGTTTAGGCGCTTTTGTGCTTTGGCAATGGTGAACTCGAGCTGCGTAAGTGCGCCACGCACTGGTTCAGAATTACTCAAAAGGTATAAAAACATATTTAATTATTCCGTTTGAAGGGCATTTGGGAAACTGAACCTAAGCTGCAAGCCATGCTGCTCCACCTGAGTGCCGGCTTAGCCGAGTGTGTCCAAGTCAATATCAGAGCAAAGATCAAACTGTTTTATAACCCAAACATTGCTGATTGTAAATATTATTACTTATGCAGACCACATTTTGTGCCCTTTCAGTTGAAGATTTAAGCGGAAGCCCAATTTGGTACCAGCAGCAGCAGCAGCAGCAATCAAGCACTAAAGCCGCGCAGGAGCGAAACTGTAAGTACACACACATACATATACAAATGCATGTCACGAATTTGCTGGAGGTGTGGCACATCCGCAAGTTTGCCAATCTTCAGACGCCAGACAATGGCCAGCTCCACAATCATAACCATAACAATAACAGTAGGCAAAGGCGGTACTGAATATGCACACACACACACACACACACACACACACATGTGTGTAGCTAGCTTCGTTTCCATTGCGTTGCATTGCGAAATGAGTCGACGCCTATTCAGACCTTTGCCATTGTTGACTGACACAGCAAAAAGCCGACTGCAATTGCATAAAAGTTGCAAATATGCAGATTCTCACAGTTTCGGAAACTCCAATCACAATCAACACCACGCACCATGCGATGTAAACGAATAGAAAATGCCCTTTAATCACTTTTGGCAATGCTGAAGACGATTAAACTCTATGCTAAGAATGTTGGCTTAAGTGTTAAGTGTTGGCTTAAGGGTTCAATGAGCCGAAAGATAAATAGAAGATATATCGTGTACTCTATATTAAGCACGCTTACATAGGTAACCTCGTGTCATGGTAGCTGTTGCCTAATGCTAAAACAGAACGACATATTCAAGCTCATTTAACGCATTCTTCTATGTTTAATGAGCTGTCGGCTGAGCAGTAAGCCTTGCCTTTCGAATGTGCTGTCAAATGTTGTTTGCCTGTTGGCGGCCACAGTGTGTTGACAGCTCTATCTGGTTGTAACTAAAACCAAATTAACTTATTTTGTAAGATCGAAAATTAACAAAAGCGCAGCAAATATGTTAAATGCCGGCAAAAGTGCAGCGAACCGAAATTATGCTGGCAACGCCAATGTTAGTGCATCAGCCCATAGAGTGACCGAAGCTCTGAAAGATATGAACATCCGTGTCAGTTCTGGCGAGAACATGGCACAATCTATGCCGGCAGGCGTTCAGCTGCTCACAAATCCATTAGAACGTGATTCGGAGCGAAAGGCAAAACTCCTGCAGGAGCATGAGCAGAAACCGGAGCATCTGCAGCAGCAACAGCAACAGCAGCAACAGCAACAGCAACAGCAGCAGCAGCAGCAGCGGCAGCATCGGCAGCCGCCGCCGTTTCACCATAATCAGAACTCAACACAAAAAAAACCACAAAATATTCAGGCTGAAGCCAAGAAACGTCGCCAGGTAAGCAGCAGCAGCTGATAGCTTTGATACGAGCAGTGCGTACTAATCATGTGTGCCCGTTCCCCAAGATGGGTCCGCTGCCGGGCGCTGCGAATCAGTGGTACGCGCTCAGCCATCGCGTGCATAAGCGCGGCACCACAATCGAGATGATGTACACTGGCATGGCCGTGCCGGAGCCGAAAGGGCCGCCGCTAGGCTTGAATGCCATACCGGGGGTAACGCACGTCACCATGAATCAGCCGGTGGGCGTGTTGCCGAGCATTAAATATAGTACGCCCGACATGCCATCCCTGATAAATGCCATGGACTTCTTTAGGAGACCCGAGTGCCATCAGCCCTCTCGCGACATGGGGCCCAGCACGACCATTCAGGTCATACCTAAAGACGACAATAACAATATCAATACACACAACATCGATTCCATTGAGGTGGTGCCACTGGGCTGCGCACAGGCTGCACCACTGAAGCGCAGCTCCTTGAACGTTGCCTTCCAAAGCTACAGCTTGATGCAACTGGAAGTGGATGAAGGCAAGTCCACGGAGCCCGGCCGTGTCGTCATGGATGCGCAAATATCGCCCACATACATGCTCACCGCACATCAGCAGCTGCGTCTCCAAGCCGCCATTATGCAGGAGAACGTGCCGCTTTCGGATGCCCTGATGCCCATCGTAGAGGATTTGTACGAGGAGCACGAGCGGCTACATAATGCCGGGTACCGCTTACTGCCAGCTCCGACAATGCCGCCCTATGGCACCATGAAATTTCACTATGTCCAGCCGCCAGTGTTCGGCTGCTCCAAGAGCACGTCCTGTGCTCCGCCGTACATCGTGGAGATGCCGCGTAGCCAGACGGCGATGAATATGAAGCATGGCCCGACTGGACATCAGCGACCCAATATTAATACCGACGTGGGCTCCACAATAATGGCTCTGGACAAGTATGGCAACTATAAGGCTATGGTGCTTGAGGAATGGGGCAAAATGAAGAAGGGCCAGCAGCCAAAGTAAACACTATTCGATACGAAGCAATTCCAACAAGGAGATAAATATCAAGTGAAAAAGATATTTATTTCATTTACCTTTGTTTAATGTATGTATTTGTGTTTGTATTTGTTAAAGCTAAATTTTATTTAATAAAATTGCTTTCGGCGTAGATTTCTATGAAATAAATTTTGGGATAAATAATAGGGAATAAGACGACTTCGTGGAATTCCTGCTGTATTTATATTGAAAACTTGCTTTGTTCCTTCAATTAAAACACGTCGTTTCATCACTCCCCATTCAATTTCACTTTCATTCAATGACAAAGAAAATGCGACAAATCAGAAAAGTGAAAGAAGTGCCGAAAAGTACAACTCAGTGTCATTTGTTTGGCCCAAAGAGTTTCGTTTTCTAATATTACCAAATATTACGAATACAATATTTTTTGGCCAACAGCAGCAAAGACAATTTGATTGGGCTCCACAGCTGGCGAATACTTGGCCAAAAGCACACAACGAGAGCCCAGCAATGGCATTGCCAAATGTAGCTCAGTGTTAAGCCAAAGCGGGCGAATTGCTTTGTATTATAACTGCCATAGATGTGATGGGAATTGTACAAAAATGGTTCACATCTAGCTTCAGAGACGTTCTACCTGGCCTATCAACAGTGCCACTGCTTATGCTACTTGAAATTGGTTTTGTATTATAATATGAGAAGCTTCGTCCATTCTATACAATATTTATTTGTATAGCCTTAGCCGGGACGACCTGTTTTGTCGACTTTAGTTCATTACTATTATTATTTATATTATTTTTATTTTAAACTACCTCAACCTCGAATAATAATTGATATTGATTAATAATAAATGAGTTTTAATTTTATATACCACTATTCAAAAATATTTGTATTTTTATTATAATTTTTTATTGCCTACTCTTTTTATTTTACTTTTTCATATTATCTTTGAATTAATGATTTATTTCATATTTTTAATTTTATTATTATTTATATTTTTATTATCATTAATTTTATTTATTTTTTGCTATTATTATTATCATTATTATTATAATTGTTACTAATATGATATTGATTAATTTTTTTACATTATTATTATTGAAATTGCTGATTTATTTATATTTGAGATTTTATTATTATTTATATTTTTCACATTATTTTTATTTGATTTTGCTATTATTATTTAATATTATATTTATATTATTATTATTTGTATTATCACTAAGCTTTGCGCCTTGTGTTCAGCCTGATATATTTCTCACATTTGTTAATATTACCTAAGCTTACACAGACTTAATCATGCCACATAGGATGAAGCTACTAGTTAAACAATGCTCAAAAACGCTTTGCTGTCAAATGAAAATGTTTCAGCTGATTTGGCTTATCAGTGGGCTATAGCTAGGTCATTTTATTAAAGATCGGACGTTCCTTTGCAGCTTTGGCCCTTTTTGTCTTGCTAGAGTGAAATCCGACGACATAAATTTCGCTTTGCTCTCAGGCCCGACGCTTTCGATTTGCTTGCAGTAAAATGGGAGTTGTTTGTTATTTAAGTGAAATGTCAAATCACATACCCACAGCAGCCGCCACGCCACAAATGTAGAAATCTGCTTGGGAAATGCAAAAACCAAGCGGCACAAACGTACGAAATAAAATGAGTTAATTGTTATTGTTATTGTTTATCTTGGGGGAAAAAGGCGGTCGAAGCGGGCGAGATATACAAGCAGAAAAAACCAATTATTTGGCATTGATGTGGAATTTTTGTAGTCTTAGGTTTGTAAAGTCGAAGGAGGCCACGAGTCAGCCTAATAATGTACGATAAATAATTTTTGTATACTACTTTACTTGAACAGGAAATCAGTACACTTCAAGGAAGGGCAACCGTTAACAGCAATAATTGAGACGAACGAATCGTTGAGATCAATTCTCACCAAAGACACACACTAATCATATTTTTGTAGACTTTTGAATATTTTGCGGAACACATCATCTCTAATTGGGGGGCAACATGCCATTTAAATAGTATATATAAGTATGATAAATCAAGCAGGGCTGACGTTCTTATAAAAGAATAACTGCATATCTTCGATTGGCCGATTCTCTTCAAGCAGGCGATCCAGCTTAAGAACTGGAAGCTTAAAGTACCAATAGTCGGCATACTGAAGTCGAGAAAACAGATAATAAATATAAGTTAAGAACTGATATACACACATATATATATATATATATATATACATATATACATACATATATATATATATATATATATATAATACATTGGCCGTCTTCTGTACCCACCGTGTCCTGATAATCTTTGCTTATGGTATCGCAGCGGCTAAGAATAATGCTAATGGGATAATCGAGCTTCTCACTGCATCGTATACGATAAATGCCGTGCAGCACTTTGCCGGTAAGCTGTGGACAGTCGATTAGGTAGAGCTCGGAGAGGCTCGGACACTTTTTGATCACATCAAGCAGCTGATACTCCTTGAGATCCGGACAGCCGCTCAATACCAAATAATTTTCTACTCGTGGCATGTTCAGTTCAGTTATCTCGCGATCATGGAAACAGCAATTGTTCAGCACCAGACCTTGCAGCCGGCTGCAGCGTCCCAGGCCAGCATCGCGCAGCCAGTGCGGCCCGTCAAAGCTCGCGCAATTCACTTGAACAATCTCAATGACGGTCGACTTGGCGTCCAGCACATATCGCAGACAGTCGATGGTCATCTCGGGATTTTGGCCGGCAAAAGTCAGCTCCAGCAAATGCAGTGCGGGCAATGCCAAGACTTGTTCGCGAGCCTGCATAAAGAGCACCATGGGCAGCGAGATGTCCTGCAGGCGGTGGCAACCGGTGATGCCTTGCAGACTTGGCGGTGCCGTTTTGCACTTGATGAACAGTCGTTTCAGCTGCTTGCAGCGCTCCAGAATGCCTGTGAGGGCCGATTGGGCCACTTCGCCATTCAGCACCAGCAGCTCCAGCTGTGGGAACTGCTCAATAAAGTGTACCTGCACCTCGCAATGCACCTTGAGGCGACGAAGATTGCGCAGCATTTTCGGCAAGGCATGCAGTGGCCATTGTGGCATCATTGAGCCGCCCAGGACCGCAGCGATGCCCACGACCCTGCCGAGTCCGGCATCGCCTGCTCCCGTGTCACGTTGTTGTCGCTTGGACTTTGCTTTGGGCGTAGGCTCCTGGCTGAGCAACAGCTCGCAGTGCTGTACATTGTTGAGTGACTTGACTCCGGCACGTTCCAGCACATTGAGATTCTCCTGGAGGCGATCCGCTGTGAAATACACATACCGAAAATTATCCATCATGTTGTTGAGAAAGTAGCTCAGTGAATCGCCGCTCAGTTCCTGGTCCAGCTGCCGGAAGTCCAGGCGCTTATGTGTGCTCCGCCAGATGCTATCGCAGACCTGTTGCACCTCCTGATGGTTACGATAGAGTACTATCTGATCGCCCATCGGTAGCTTGATGATCAGCTGACGCAACTTGCGATAAGCCGGATCATGCTCCTTCTTGCTGGCGGTACTCGAGGCGCCGCCCTGCGGCACCTTCGAGGGTTGAACAAGTTCCATCGAAAAATTTACCTTTTTCCCCACTGCAGCAAATACCACGAAAGCCAATAAAAAGTTTTAGATTTTGTGAAATGTCAGTTACACGTGTTTACTTGTGTTTGTTGTTGTCGAATATACATGAATTTCTAAAAGTAAATGACTCCATGCCCGACTGTAGCCAAGCGCCAAGCCTGCTTCGACCAGCGGTCGACAGCCAGTCACACAACAATGGAGCCTAGAATTCCTTATACCCTGCCAGCCACTGGAAGTGAATTCAACTGCAGCCGCTCTATCGACGGAAGCCTCCCATCAAATGTGTTCGGTTTATAAATTTGCTCACATTTTCCGTTTCGCTTTTCGCTTTTCCATACAACATTACAGTTCCCTATCAACTAATGTTTTCTGCCTTGTCAGAGAACTGTGACTGTGCAGAGTATCGAGCGTTGCAGTGTCTCGCCTTGAGGGCACTCTCAACTAGAGTTCTTGTTCTAGCTTGTTGCACTTGACTTGCGTCCAAGTGCTAAGCTACTAAATATACATATCTCAAGTAAGTGCTTAGGCCAGCCGCTGCCTCCCACCCTGCCCTTCCCGCTGCCTCCCACGCCCAGCCTCCCCTATTTCAGATGTCTGTTTTCCAGTGACATCGCGTGCGCCGCGGCTGACATTAGAAAGTGAGCGTGAACTTTCCCATTGTTGTTTGTTGTTGCTGTCGCGCACGACATTGCTAGCCGCATTATTGCTGTGCCAGTGTGCAAGGTGTACAGATGGTGTGTGCCACGCCCCTTGTGCTACGTCTTATTTTGGTATTTGCATAATATGTATACCAACCTGCATTTAATTGTTGCCATTTGGCCAGACGGCTTTTCAATTTGCATTGTTGTTTCTTGAAGGTTGCATTTGTTTTTCTCTCTCTCTTAATTGCAGTTACCGACACACACACACACACACACACACACACACAGAGACAGTTGTTGAGCTGCACTTGTGCCAGTTTTTGTTTGTAGTTTACTTTCGCATATGAAAGTGCATCTGTTTCGCTTTTGCTTTTGTGTTTCGCTTATAGCTCGAGTCCCATGCCGCCCCAAGGGCCCAAAGAGCCCTAAATGAGATTGTGAAATGGCTTCCACTGGTCTTAGCCACTCGAACTGACCTGCCCGTTCGGCCTTGAGTTCATTTGAAGTGTCTATAGCTTGTAATTAGACCCAATCATTGGCTACCTTTGCTACCTTTGCCATCATTTCACTATGATTGCCAATCATTTTGTTATTTGGAATTGTTGTCAAAGATTTCTGCCATAAGAAAATTCAATTGAATTAGGATTTCGAATTTGAAAGCTATTTTCAGATTTGATTTAATAGTTTTAGCTTTGCTCACATCAAAGCTAATCAAATTTAGCATTTAATGAAAGCTTTCACCTTGCTCAACATATTTTAATAGGAATTATACACATATATATATATATATATATATATATATGATACTATATCAAGTATCAACAATATACAGTATTCATAGAAAAGTAAAGTTAATTTTTACACTTTACGAGAAATTGAAAGATACATAGAGTAGATGCTTGGTGCTACTATTTGTGTACTTATTAATGTCTATATATGAAATATAAGTTTGTTTGTTGAAGAAGACAAAAGAAAACAAACGCATTCAATTTACATAAGGCCTTCTTGAAATTGCTGCTCCAGCTGCTGTGTCTAGGGGCGTTGCTCATGCGCGTTCCGCTTTTGCGCTTCTGGTGCGGCATCACCTTAACGCCAGTTGCTCCTCCAACAAGCGCGTCTCTTGTCTGCTGTCGGCTGTCTGTTGTCTCTCCGCTCGTTTGGTGTCATTCGTTACGGTGTGCGGTCTTTGTTTTGTTTGTTTATACACATACTTCGCAGTTTGGGCAACAATTGTGCTGTTTTATTTGTTATTATTCTTTATGGCTTTGTATTCAATTTGTGAGCTGTAGAATATGATGACAGCAACAATTTTTGGCTGACCTTTAACGCCTCGTGCTATGCATAAAGTGTCGCCCATAATGCTAAATGTTTAATGTGCCACGCTGCGTATACGTAATATGGCATCGCAGTGGCGCGTCCACATGTCAAGAGCGTCGCATGGCTCGTGGCCCTGTGACGTCAAAGGCTGAAACCAGTCCAATGAGGTCAATGTGGGTCAAAGTTGATATGGCTGATATGACTGTCAATAGGCAGGCGCACCCACACACCCACACACACACACACACACGCATTTACTATCTTATCGAGCCCACTTTTAGAGTAATTTTCAACGGGCCTGGTTTGTGTAGACATTAACCCAGAAAAATACACAAAATTGGGAGTACGTACATAGTTTTTAGGGCAAGCACACACAATGCCAAATTAGAGCAGCATAAATGGGTCAGCCAGACTATGGGATACCGTGTGTTGGATAACAGATATGTTGGAACACTATTTGACTATACAGTCAAATATAGCTGTGCCATGTGTCTACAAAAAAAAACTAAGCAATGAATTCAGTCTTAAATCAATTTGGCTTTTCACTGCCAGCATCAGCCAAACTTGTTACAGGGTATAAAGCTAAGTGAGCAAAAAGTTGGTCGACGGCTCCAAAAAGCGTAACGAAAATAATATATATAAATATATATATATCTGTGATGTTGATGTTGCTGGATTCTGGCACAACAAAGATGGCATGCTAATTTTTGAGTACAAGAGGCGGCTATTTATGACTTGACTTTAATTTGCCAGCTTACAGCTCGTAGTGGGCGTCACGACATAAATACATGTATTTAGAACGGGATAAAGACACATTTGGTCATGTGTCATCTGCCAGTGCGAGTCGTCGACCTTCGTTGAGTGCCAGGGGGGAGGCGGTTCGCCACCAAAATTGGCAATGCCTGGTCGGGCCTGGCCTGATCGGGCCTGGTCATGGGCCGCACAGTGAAGTGCCCAGCGAAACTTGTTTTTAGCAGAATGTAAAGCACTTCCACGACTGTTCAATGACTCGATGACTTCATCGTAGCTACTGCAAGTATTCCACGCTCTCTCTATCTCTCGCTCTTTCGCTGCCACCTCTCTGGCTTGAATGCTTGTGTTAGCGTCTGCCTTCTGTGATGCTGACTCACAAGGCGGATGAGCAATGATTGCTGCTGGGTTTTCTTAAGTGCGATCGACGCTTGTTAACATATGAGCTCGCATTCAATTGTTTCCTTTATTTATCTTACAGCTGCGCATTGTCGCCTCGAGGCCACAGCACGTGCCGCATCATGACTTTCTACTGGTGGTCGCATTGGTTCTGGGTAACCTGCCTGAGTGGTAAGTCTCTTCGGCAATCTTTTCACATAGTCTTGAAGCTGAAACGTTTCCCTTTTACAGTGGTCCTACTGCCCAATGGCATCATGCATGTGCACACATATCCCAGTCACGAGATTAGCCTAGAATCAACTACACAGCAGGAGGAGCGTATGCTGCAGCGGACGGAAGCAACGAGCCATGATGCTGACGGCCGTCGACACACAACGAAGCTATATCAGACCACATCCAGCCAAACATGGGCGACGGTCACACAGCGCAATATCATGGATTTGACTATTAAAACGACGCCAGCGGCCAAAGTAACTCCCGCTGTTTATGCAGACGACAGCCTGCCGGAGAGTGTCGATGACATGGAAGGGCCCTTCTCGGATGCCATTGATGATAATGATGATGACGGTGGTGTTGAGAATGATGATGACGACGTCGACAACGAGGGCAATACGGATACTGCAGATATGGACGACGGCGACAAGGAGAATGACGAGGCAACTGTTAAGCTAACGCTGTCACACAATCAGTTCGAGTTTAAGCGCTCGGCAGACTTTGCGTCGGCGCCAGCAAGCCCTGCCGTTCTGCCATCCGCGCCACTGAACAACTATACGAATTTTAGTCGTAGCACAAGGTAAGCGCGTCATGTGAACATGACTCAAGCACCAATTGGCTTTATCTAACCGTTCATATTACGCAGTACAAATACCAATAGCAACAGCAGCAGCATCGCTTGCAACTCCACGTGCATGGCAGCTGCTTCCAAGGCCAGTGGCGCCGCCGTTAACACAACAATTGTGGCAACATCCACGTTAGCTGCTGCAGCAGCGGCAGCAGTCACAACAACTAAAACCACAACAGCAACATCATCAACAACGACATCAACAACGAGCCCGCCAACGAATAGCACCGGCCAAGCCGTGCCCGCAACGCCCTCGACGCCAAAGATCAACACCGAATGGCTATCCGATGAGCTGCAGCGAGTGTCGTTCACATTGGAGAACGCCAACAAGGAGGATGAACTGCGACGAGCTGAAAGCGAACATCGTTCGCGCAAATCCAAAGTTTTGTCCGCCGAATATAAGCACGTCAATCGCTATATCAACTACTCGAGCGACACAAAGAGCCTTCTAACACGCTCCGCATCGGCGGCACCCAGCATCTCTGGTTACGACGCCGCGGATGAGGGCAACATATCCTCCGAGGCGCTGGCCATTCAAGTGAGCATTGTGTTGTTGCTTCCATTGGAATTTCTTGATTATCTTCTTTTCGGTTCTTAGCGCACCTATTTCCTCGATGCTGGCGCCATCTCGGCCATTTGCTTTACGGTTTTTGGCATTTGCTGTACGGTGGGCACAATTGGAATTGTGCTGTATCGTCGGCGATATGTTAATAAGCCCCAGGCGCTAAGCGAGCCAGACTCGAGCGTTTACATCGATGATAGCACGATGCGTGTAAGTGTAAGGATTCGTTGGCCAATTGCCTGCGGGCGTGTGCAATATGTGTCCGACTAACTGATTCTGTCTTGTTTTTTATTTTTAGGATAACTCGGACGAGATGTATAGTCTGGACAATGACTCATTCCTCAACTCCCTGGAGGCAATGACAATACAGAACTATTGGACGGACACGGTCAAACATACAAAGCTTTAATTTCGAATGTCTGTTGTGGAAGCCTTCCTTCATGGTCTCGTCTCATCCGTTCATCCATATGTTCAGTACTTCCATTCTGTCCTCTATAGCGACCTATCCTTCACACAACAAACAACAACAAACACACATCATAATCATTAAGTAGGCGTCAAAGAGCGCAGTGTAGCATTTAAGAAGGGCCCTCCCGACAGGGCCAGATGTATGTATTTACTAATTGATAGGCATTCGTGCAGCTCAAAGGGCTTGTAGGCGACCAAACGAGCAACTAGTGTTAAGCCAACTACCAAAATTATGTTTAGTACGTCTATATAATATATACTTTAAGGGCGCAATGTTATTTGCATAGTTTTAACTGTTGATACTGTCTGTCTGCAAATTGAATATTGAAGGATTTTCTTTAAGTACACATTCATATTTCTGTATATTCGTATTATGTATATGTATATGTATGTGTGTATGCATGTATGTATGTGTGACAGCTTTCCAGGCTTATTTTTATTCTCAATAATTTCAGTTTAGTTCGACTTACTTTCTCTTTAATATACTCGTTTACTGTAGTAACTTAACTTAATATTTATATTTTAATATTTATGCAATTCTAATTTTAATATTGTTGAGTATTTTTCAAATAACTTTATTTCGTTTCTTTCTAGTTTCGTGATTAATATACAGTAGGGAGCAAAAGTGTTTCCATAGTTGACACTTTCAACTTTGTGAGTCGATAATTTCTAAACGAATGAAGCAAATCAAAAAAACTTTTTTTTCCAATAATATGTATTCAATTCTTAACAAATTGACGTATATAACAAAAACAAAACTTAATCAGCTAAATATTTAAACAAAGAAAACTGAAACAAAACGCATGTGTACAATTTTGCACCTTCCGATATTCTTACTTTGGTTTGATTTCTTAATTCTCTTATCGGCAATACACATGCAGTTTTACCCTTATATGTTTTATTTATGCATTCTACACTTTTATGATCCAGGAATCCACGTGTTTCTTATTATTTGAAGTAGATTTGTTAATTTTAGCAATTAGTCTACAAAGTACCGCGAAAAAATGAAGAAGCGTTCGTCAGATGTCGAAAATAGTATTATTAGCCTAACTGAAAGTGGCTGTTCGACTCGTAGTACTTCAGATCAGCTTAATATTTTTCATTCAGCGGTGTCCGAAGTCCAGAAAAGACGCAATGGTACATCCAAAAACACTATTAAAGGCCGCAAACGACTCTTAAAGGACTCTGACGCCAGACTTATGGGAACTGATAAGTTCCTAACACCGAAGAAGGCATCTATGGACATAGGGAAAGACGTGAGTCGGCGGGTGGCTAGAAGAGCACTACCTAAGGTTGGATATGTGGCAAGTGTGAAACAAAATAAACCAGCTCTATCCGAGAAGAATGTCAAGGGTCGATTGAAATTCGCCCGGGAACACAAGAACTGGACTGTAGATGATTGGAAACGTTTTATCTGGTCGGATGAATCCAAGTTCAACCGTTTTCAATCAAATGGCACGCAATACTATTGGCACAGGTCCGGGGAAAAGCTTCAAAAACACCATGTGAAGCAAACCGTTTAGCATGGAGGAGGCAATGTCAAAGTTTGGGGATGCTTTACTTGGTGGCACATTGGACCATTGCATAAAATTGATGGTATAATGTTAAAAGAAGACAATCTAAATATTTTGAAAACCTGTCTACCCAATTTTCTGGACAAGTGTGCATACCCCGTAAAGGAAATCATTTTTCATCAAGATGGGGATCCGACGCACACTGCCAAAACTGTCCGCGAATGGTTACAAAACCAAGATTTTATGCTGATGGAGTGGCCAGCTAAAAGTCCCGAACTCAATCCGATTGAGAACCTGTGGTCAATCGTGAAGCGACGGCTCGGGCAATATCAATCAATGCCATCCAACCTAGACGATCTTTGGAAGCGTGTAGAACTGAAGTGGAACCGAGTTCCAAAGGAAACCATAGAAAAGTTGGTCGAGAGTATGCCAAACTGAATAAAAAATGTAATAGCTAATAAGGGCCTGTGGACAAAATATTGATTTAGAATCATATCAAATTTTTTTCACTGAAGGTGCAAAATTGTACACATGCGTTTTGTTTCAGTTTTCTTTGTTTGAATATTTTACTGATTATTTTTTGTTTTTGTTATATACGTCAATTTGTTAAGAATTGAATACATATTATTGGAAAAAAAAGTTTTTTTGATTTGCTTCATTCGTTTAGAAATTATCGACTCACAAAGTTGAAAGTGTCAACTATGGAAACACTTTTGCTCCCTACTGTATATGTAATATTTATACAATTTCGATTTGTGTCTGTCCAACAATTAAACGCAATCATTCCTTCCAGTTTAGCATATAGTGCAACTTTATATGAAATTATTGTATTACAAATAAATTAAACATACCTAAAAACTACAAATTCACACACAATATAAACTGTTTACTGCCACAAGACTTTTTGTCAATTTTGCTTGTCGAAATTGTTACGACACGAATTTTAACTAATATTTCCATTATTCAATTTACTGAATGGTAAATATATACACGATCCTTTCAAACAATTGTTGCCAATGGCTTATTGGTTGCTGGGCTACTATTAACCAAAATGTTTTGGTATGCATAGTATTGGAAGCGTTGATATAAAAATTCCAAATTATCTCTGACATATAATGAATACTAACAATAAAAAATCATTTGCAGCACTAGGTGATCTGATCCATTCTGAGTTATTGAATAAGAATACCAAATTGATTGTAGGTACATATAAAAATGGTTTGTATTATGAAATTCTATTTTAGCTCGCAAAATGTATTAATTCAAATGATTACCGATAATAAGTATCGAAAGCTTTTTGGCACTGGGCTACTTGACGATAACTTTGTGTTGACTATCGCAAAATTTTCCATATTTATTGTGGCAGTATCGAATAGAACTATATTCGAGCTTGCTATCGATTGTTATGATGACTACTGACATGATACTTTTAATCGATATTTTCTGCCATCTCTACACGACACTACATTGCATTTCGAACTCAAGCATAAACACATTCATTTGTTGCAATTATATGCGAATTTCGCGTGTATGGTGAACCAAATAAAAGAAAACCTTAAAATTAAATGTGAAGTTGTGTCAGAATAATCCTGTAGTGTTTTTTAAAGGTAAGTAACAATGGTAAAATTAAAACTCCATTGGCGTTGTGAGTAGTCGCGCGTTCGACGTCATTTTGTTTGCGACTCACAGAATCTTGCTCTCATCTACATATATTTGCAATGCTGTGCATTTGATATAAAACTTCAAACTTTTTGCATGTTGCGTTTCACTAGCATCCCTGGCACCAGTGGAAAACATTGGCATCCATGGCTTACTTTGGCGTCTATATACCGCCATCCAAGGCGGGCTTTGAGGGCAATTTGACCCAATGTGCGGGCTCTATAGCGGCCGACAACATCAAGATTTCGCCAGAATGTCCGGCCAGTGCGGCCGAAGAATCCTCAGCATATGAGGATCCCGAATATCCACGTAAGTTGTGTTGCTGCAGTATAGGCGTCGCCATATTTGTGCGAATAAATGCATATGTATCTCCATACGTTCACACAAATAAAATTATGTACGTACATTCATACATACCTATATACTTACATACAGACATATGTACATATGTATAAGCGACCATGTACACATAAACAAGCACGCACGCACATACGCACTTGTTTGTTTGTATTGGAGCTTGTTGTTTCGTGCCGTAACGTAATCAAAGCGCGCGTTTTAAGGAAGCGACGGCGTCATTTGTTGCGCATCGCAGTTACCGTTTTTTATACGCTTGCAGATGGTATGAATAATGTTGCCAAAGATGCCTAACGCATCAAGTGACATTATCTGAAAAAGGTAGATTTAACATAAAATTAAATTAGGTACAGTTAGCTTAAATTCAATGTGTATCAGCTTATACTGTCTTAAAAAAAAAAGAATACCTTTTTTTGTTTATAAATATGCAATTTGTTCTGGAAATTGTTGCAGTTTGTATTTAACGGTTCTATATTTGATCAGAGTATTGTTTAATTTAGCTTGGCAAAATTATTCGGGGAAACATCACATCCATCCGTGTATGTACTTGTTGCATTTCGTCTTGCGAGAGGGTACGAAATTCGTTTTCTTCCACAATGCTTTTGCTTATAAATATTGTCTTAGAGTAGATTGTTAAGGGCATAAAATCGACGAATAATTATTCGTTTTTATGTTAAACATTTTAAGTAATCTTAACCGTCATACTGTACATAATCAAAGTTCTATTCTGATAGCTCCATAAGATATGACAAAACATGAAAGCAATTGAAATTCCCGTTGGCCTTTCTGCCAGCTGCCTCATCTCATCATTAGCACGGACCCGATGGGTTCGTGAAAGTGGGTGTGTGTGGGGTTAGCAGCGTCATCGATGCACAAGTTGTAAACAAATATGGGTAACGTACGATTACGACCGTGAATTCAATCGGTTTGCTGCACCTCTGACATAACGTAATCTAATTAAAAAGCGCTTTGTTCGTTTGCGAACCCAACCAAACAACAAGATTTTATCGAAAGTGTGCAGTCGAGTTCAGTGGAACTACAGATATCCGAAATATGTCCAATAGTTAAGACTTCTATTAGATTTACTTTTCCCTGCAATGTAATCGATATTATAATATGGCCAACTAAAGTAAAACTATGGCAATTGCCAATAAGAGTAAGCCTGTCGTAGATTGATTGTCTGCAAAAGTATTGATGCATCGCGCAAGCATTGTTTTCTTGTTTTGATTTTGCCAAACATAAACACGTTTATTTGATCAAAAGCTTGATTTTGTAAACAAATAACTGCTGAGTGACCACAGTAAATATTTATGACCTATTTGCTGACTCATGCGTGCTTTGTTGGCTAACTGAAATATTCAATATGCGAGAGGACAAAAAACAGCTCCTTTTCAAACAACTTGCATAGTGAATAATTTGAAAGCCCAACATTCCAACACAATGAGTGCAATGTACATATGTATGCACGCCTTTATGTATGTATATCGCAAGAACACTTCTGTATTTATTTAAGTTTCTATTTTAAATAAGTATGAGCTGCGGAGACAGGCGACGTGAGCAGAGCAGAAAGAGTACACGGTGTTTCCATATTTAAATCGACCTGGCTCGACTCGGCTAGGTGGCATGTTCTGAGCACCTCAATTGCCAGCATCGTTCGCCCAGCAGCAGTTCAGAGAGTCAACCGAAAAATAAACAAGAGAAATAATAGAGAAAAATTGCGTGCCAATAACTGCGTCATACGCACATTTTCACGAGCATTATTGATGCCGCGCAAGCATCGTCGTCCATGTCGCCCACGGACTGTTGTTTCCCTTTGTGCTCGGTTTTGTTCCGCGTCAAAAGCGCCCACTGTCCGCAGTCGGCTGTCCACTGTCTGCTGTCCGCTTTCTGTTTCCCGGTGTCCGCACGCGACCTCGTCGATTCTCTCGCCTTTTAGCATATTGTTTGTTTTGCTCAACACATTTCTTGCTCTGTCTGGCATCGCCCTATTCGCATAGATGGCGTGACCATGCAGCCAGCGAGTGACAACTGCTGACAGTTTTTTTGTTTCATTCGCTCGATCATTTACTCGCTCGCTCGGTTGGTTGCTAAACAGTTTAATAATTAGCTGAATACTTAATCCTTTGCAGCTGACTCGCCACTTTGGTTGATATTTAAGGAGAAGTCCAAGGCGCTGGACGTCTTGCGCCATTATAAGGAGGCGCGTCTGCGCGAGTTTCCCAATCGCGAGCAGGCCGAAAGCTACGTACAATTCGGCTTCGAGAGCATTCAGTCGCTGAAACGCTACGGCAAGGCCAAACCTGCCAGCAGTAAGTATTTTTCGATACACAATCTATTTACTCGTATATATAATATAAAAATAAATGTTCTCTCAATTTGAATTTGCAGAGCCGGTGCAATTGCCAACAACGTTGAGTTATAAACCGACTTCTGGCAACGCGGAGAGTCCGTTTTCTTCGTCACCCACCAACAGCACGAGTGCTTTGCCGTGCTCTGGACTCCCACTGGCCATGTCAAATATGTTACTTTCATTACCAAACAGCAGCAACAGCAACAACAATAGCAGCAGCAACAGCAACAGCATCAGCGTTGGCAACGCCAATTGCACTGGCAGTAGCATCACTTCGTTAAATGGGGAGCGTCCGCCGTTTCGGGCGCCAACCAAACAAGAGCTGGTCGACTTTCGCAAGCAAATCGAGGCTGGCAATTATGAGCGGGTCAAGCGGATTGTTTGGGACAATCCACGCTTTTTGATAAGCAGCGGGGATACGCCAACCAGCTTGAAAGAAGGCTATCGCTATAACGCCATGCACATTTGCGCCCAGGTGAACCAGGCACGCGTTGCCGAGCTCATATTAAAGATTGTTTCGGATCGCGAATTCACCCAGCTGTATGCTGGAAAAAAGAGCAGCAGTGAAATGTGTGCTGCTCTAAATGTGAATCTACTCGATTATTATCTTAACATGCCTGATAAGGGACGCGGCGAGACCCCATTGCATTTTGCTGCTAAGAATGGACACATAGCCGTAGTTGAAGTGCTTACTTCGTATCCACAATGCAAGTCGCTAAAGAACACGGAAGGTATGCATCCCAAGGAAGTAAGTAACTCATCGACGTATGTTTTTTAACTATCTTAAATTCTTGAACACGTTCTCTTCCATTAGATAATATGCCAACGTGTAGCCAACGCCAGTATAGTGGTGATAAAAAAGCTGGAACTCCTTTTGTCGGAGCCACATTATGTGCCCGTTCTACGAGCCATAGGCAACCAGCTGCCACCGCAAGTTGGACATCCCTTTACGCCTAATGATCCGCCGGTTAGTGCTGTTTTTTGTTGGTGTCAGTCGAGACTAAAATTAAATACTTATTCTTGAAATTGATAGATTTTGCAGCACAAGACGGACGAGTCGGATCGACTTAATGTGGACCTTAAGATAAGCGCTTTGGCTGGTCCTATGCCACGCGAGCAGGCAATGAACTTCTTTCGTCGCTGGAAGACGCCGCCGCGAGTTGGTAGCAATATGGTATCACCATTGGTCAACTCAAGCTACATCTCTCCCATGAAGTCCCCGAGCAAGGCATTTTTGAACGAAAGCTCTGGGATTGTGTCGAGGCGGCGCGTGCTATTCAGCCCACGAGCAGCGCCTTTAAATGTATCGCAAAACGAACCGAATGGGAATCACAAGCCCCATCAAGACGGATTGCTGCCGAATGCCGAAGTGGACCCCATTGAGCACAACAATAATTGCACGTATAACCGTTGCGGTATGCCCTCAACACCCATACGTCAAATGAAACCGGACCTGTTCTTAAAATATCGCGACACCTCCTCATCTCCCGTTATTATGGATGCATCGCTCGACATATCGGAGTTAAGTCTAAATATATCCGTGTCCACACTGAACGATAGTTTCCGCGAGCGTCACATCAAGAACTCGGACATTGAGAAAGGCCTTGAAGTGGTTGGTCGACAGTTGGCCCGCCAAGAGCAGTTAGAGTGGCGAGAGTATTGGGACTTTCTCGATGCTTTTGTCGACATGGCCTCAATGGATGGTCTTCGCCAGCTAGAGAGTTATCTGTCTGCCAAGCATGAGCAGGCGCAAGCCTCTATGTTGGCAGAAAAATCAGACCAGGCGTGGAACTTTTCTCAAATGCGTCAGTATATAGATTTAGTGGCAGATCGCGCCAAATCCAACAATTCTGGAGTCTCGGGTGGCCCAATTACGCAAGTAATGACACCCTATACCTGTGTGGAGAAGTCATTGCAGGTGTTTGCGAAACGTATTACCAAGACGCTCATCAATAACATTGGAAACATGGTGTCCATTAATGATACATTGCTCTCCGAGCTCAAAAGACTGAAATCTCTCATAGTGAGCTTCAAGGACGACGCACGTTTCATTAGCGTAGACTTTGGCAAGGTTCATTCGCGCATCGCTCACCTTGTAGCCAGTTACATAGCTCACTCGCAGGAAGTCAGTACCGCTTTGCGCAATCAGTTGATGCAGATGCTGCGCAAGATGTTGCAGCTGAATGGTGAACGACGTGAACATTTACACTGTGTATGCGACAGTATGCTACTTGTGCTGGAGCAGGCACCAACTGTCAAGCTGCCAGACGCACTGAAGACCGAGGACCTATGCTCAGCCGCCTGGGAATTGGAGCAGTGCTGCAATTGTTTGTGGGATGGGAATCTCAGTCGGAAAACGAGCAGGCGAAAGCGTACTGAATCTATGCGAGCACATGCGCAAGATTTGGCCAATGCAAGCTCAATGTTGGCAACGGCCGCAGCCGCTCTTCAAAGCGCTGCCGTGTCCAATGTGGATGTCGTTTCACCTATTCCCGCAACAAACACCTGGCGTAGCGACAACCAGAGCGATGATGATGACGACGATACCAACGATGATTCGTTCTTTGTAAGTATATGAATATAGATTTATATATATCAATATATCCTAATCGTTTTAATTACTTCTCAGTTCGAATGTGGTGGTGGTGATGACAGCACCGATGATGAGGAGATATTTATGACGCCACCAGAAAGCAGATCGCCAATATTGTCGTGTGACTTGGATCCTCCTTACGAGCTTTTTATTTTCGGGTAAATTTCAAAAATTATATTTTATATATTAAAATTTTTGATTTGCTCTTCAAACTATTGCAGCAAGGAGCCAACCAAGCGGGACTTAGATGTTCTCAACGCTATTTTCCACGTGGAAATTGACAAAGAGTCGCTGCCATTTGTTCATGCCTGGCAAGTAGCCATGGAAAGCTTCTCTACTGCCGAAATGGATCTGTGAGTAGCAACGAGTGTTTCCTATTGCAATTAAAAATTTAATTAATTCTGACGCATATTCATTTTTAGCTTCCCTTCCCCGAAGAGCGTCCAAAAGATGCATAAGCCATCGCATTTTATTGGTACCCCGCTCAATACAACAAGCAACGCACCCAATAGTAAATCTAGCAGTATTCTTAGTGACAGCGATACGGTGCCCCAGCCGAAACGTCTGTTTACGTTCGCAACGCCCAAGATTAATACAGGTGCAACGCGTCGACAGGCACCCGGAACACCAACGACGCCACCAAAGCCGGCACGCCCACAACGAGGGCCAGACAAATCGTGGCAATTGGCAACCTCATCGCCAAAACAGAGCTCGTCGCCATTACCATCGTTTGCATCTCTTGCTATGGCTACCGTACATCAGAAACTTACTGTGGCCTCCGTATCACAGTCATTCCAAACGCCGCTAAACAAAATGCGTGGTATTTTTAGCAAGTATCGCGAGGTTAGCCAGGATGCCAGTCCCATGCCAGTTTCGCCGGGCTATGTTAATAGCCGACTAAGCCGGTCGCTCTCCTTAGAAGAGAGCGACTGATCATTGGAATATGAATAAAATACTTAAAACAGGATCCGAGCAGTTGCATGTCGAACTGCCTATTCTTATTATTATTAGTCTTGAATGCTGCCTGTCTTAAGGGAAACGTAATTAAAATTAAATAAAACATAAAGTAAAGTGAAACATAAAGTATATTTATTAGGTATAAGTGCTCTTCTTCATGTTTTGTTAGTTTAACATTTCATCGAGGTACGAAACTCTTTAAACAGGCAATATTCAAGTTGAATAAAATATTTTTTTTTAATGTAATTTCTTAAGAAAAACAAATGAAGCTAATTGAAGTAATACTAATTTTTATATTGTGTGTGAATAAAACGAAGTATTTAATTCATTTAAATGTATAACTGGCATTACCAAGCTCATCTTATCATCTGGGAACTCTATATAAGGTACTGCTCAGAAAATCTCCGACTACCTTTTTTCTAGTAAAATGCGAGAGAAATTTATTGACATCAAGTATTTGTGTATATCTATATCAATGACTAGACTCACCTAAATTTATTTTTCTAATTTCTAAACTTTTACAATTTTACCATATATTTTCTGGTTCGATTTATTCCTCTTAAAATTGTTCCTAGTTTAGCCGGTGAATATGTTTGGGGCTAAGACCACGAGCCTATTGTTGGGAAAAATGAACGTTTTCTCATGTTTCCATCCGATGACCAGGCAACTCCAATTGGTAAGAAAGACCAGATATATTATCTGAGAATCCATCGGCTCTCTTAGTAATAAAAGGCGACATCTACAGCGACGTGGCTTCAGGGTAGCTGTTATTGGCGCTGCCGGAGGCATTGGCCAGCCTCTGTCACTGCTCTTGATGAAAGACCAAAGGATTAAGGAGCTCAGGCTGCACGACGTTCAAAATGTGAAAGGTGTGGCCGCAGACTTGTCTCATGTCTCCTCACCGGTTAGTGTACAGGCCATGCAAGGACCTGACCAGATAGAGAAGGCTGTTGAGTGCTGTGACGTGGTTGTGATTACTGCCGGCCTGGCGCGTAAGCCAGGTATGACCCGCGAACAGCTATTCGAGGTGAATGCGACCATCGTTTGCGGTGCAGTGTCTGCAATTGCCAAAAAGTCCCCGGAGGCCATGATAGTGATTGTCACTAATCCCGTCAATTCAATAGTACCTATGGCCGCCGAGGTTCTTAAACGTAATAATACTTACGATCCAAAGCGATTGTTCGGTGTTACCACGCTAGATTGTGTGCGTGCCGAGCGATTTATTGGTGAATTTCTGAATATCAGTCCCACTATGGTGAAAATACCTGTTATTGGTGGACATGCAGGTACAACAATTTTGCCCATTATGTCACAGTGCAAGCCACCCATGAAGGCTGGTAGGGAGTGCATTGCATCTATAATCAAGCGCGTCCAGACCGGCGGCGAAGAGATAATTCAGGCCAAGGAAGGCAAAGGATCTGCCACCCTATCCATGGCCTTTTCGGCGAATCGTTTCGTAGACGTTTTGTTTAGAGGTCTCAGCGGTGAGAAAACACCGATTGAGCCCGCCTACGTTGAATCCTCTGTGACGGATGCCTGTTTTTTTGCAACGCCTCTCAGCTTTGGTCCCAAAGGCATCGCTACGAACCACGGATTGCCCCGTCTTGATAAAAGCGAAGAGGACGCCATGAAAGTGGCGGTGAAAGAATTGCAGCGGTCTATACAGTTAGGAGTTGACTTTGTGAAAAAGTAAACTCAATTTTAGAAATATATATATTATAACTTTGCTCATGGACTTTAAATAATTTTCTATATTTTCTGTGTGTGTGTTTGTGTTTGTGTGTGCTTGTTTGTGTTGGGAGGTTAAGTGCAGCTATCGATGCGGAGTGGTTGGGTGGCTCTGACTAAGACCCTGACTTGGCGGCAGCTGTTGCGACTAAAAGCGAAATTACAACAACAAATTGCTGGCGGAAAGCGTGGCGAGCACAGCACACAAAAAAAAACCATAAAAGCAATTACCATTAATCACACACACACATAGAAAGTCACTCACGCACACACACATACGCACATACAGTGTCTTCTCTGGCAGATCGTGTAGAACATTCGCAAAAAAAGATCTGGGCTTTCGAGCATCGTCTTCTTGTTCTTGCTGCTTCATTTCTTACACACACACACACACAAATTTGTATATGTAGTTGTCCGTCCACCACATTGGCCGAGCCTACAACGAGTTTCAGTTGGCAGGTTCGCTTGGGAGCTGGGAATAAGGAGAAAAAAAGGCTCAGGATTCGGTTTCAGTTGCGTGGACTTCTTATTGGATTTCTTATTTATAAGCGTGCAGATGGCGGTGGCGTTGATTTTTGTCAACCGGCGCGGCATTGGAACCAACAAATTGTTGCAATTGCCTTTACCTGTGCCCCATTTCCCTTCATCTGTTAGCTTTGCAAGGTTTTTTCCGTTCTCGGCTCTCGTTTTGTGGAACGTTTTACGGCCAGCTTCTCGCAACGCTTTGACAAATGATCGTTGATAAGAAAAAATTCACTCATTGAATAAAAAAAGGACAAAATAAATTGAAAATAAAAAATTTATTAGCGGATTGCCGAAGACGTGATACACTCATTAATATCAAACATAAATTCTTTTTATTCATCTACTAAATTAAAAAATTGGCTAAATGGGTATAGCTTGATATAAACTTGTAATACGATTTATTTTGCAATCATAAGTAGTCAAAGCGTCTATAGATAGATTTATCTTAAGCCTTCTTCACATACCTGACTGCTGTTATAGGAAATATTTCTATAGCTAGAATAATACAGTCTTCGAAAGCCATGTGAACAACTTAATTTAGATTCCTATGCAACTTATCTGTCAACATTTTTTAACTTTGATGATGTTAAATATCTTTATAAAGCCTGATTCGGAAACATTTTTCTCTTGAGAAATGCATTACACATTTGTTAATAAAATAAGAATGCTTTGCCTAAGAGTATATGGACATGTGAGAGTTGGAGCATTCGGTCTAAGTGGGTCGCGTAATTGCATGCGGTAAGTTGTAGTTGGCTTGACTCTGCTGACTGGTGTGTTAATCCTGGGGAGAGTGTCCTAGTGCGACAGCACCTGTAATAGAGATCGAAAAATTGCAAATTAGTGATTAATTGGATGTGGTTGCATTTCAGGGACCCGATTGTGCAAATGGTACGCAAAGGAAAGACCGTTAACAAAGAGAAGAAGAGCTGGTCTCTGGCGCCAAATTGAAACTCTAGATGACAAAGGACTGCAAATGCGGAGATCCTCACAGGCTGCAGGCTACGCTGCACTTATCTGGCGAACGGAATCAGGGTCATCTCGTGATCGCCAGCTCTTTTGTTTGCCGTCTGCCGTTCGACGTTCGAGGTTCGGTGTTCCTTTTGGCTCTCGTCCGTCTGTGATGCTGCGCTGAAACTTGAAACCACTTCATTTGTGCTTGGAGCCGGAGCTCTGGCTGTGGCTCTGGCTCTGGCTGTTAAGCTGAAGCTGTAGCCACTTGGCCAGACAAACAAAGCGCCGTCCGCTCCATGGCCGTGTCAGGAGTTCACACAAAACTTGTGAACTTCTTGGCTTGGTTTGTGTGTGAGTGGGTTAGTTAATTCTTTCTTTTTTTGTTCTTTTTTGTTGGTTGCGGCGCCGCCGGAAATCGCGCAGACTACTGACCAATTAGACCGGCAGCAGCTGCCGACCGACCCACTCTAATAGCAACCCCGAGTACTTAGGCTGATCGTGGCTGGCGCCATTTTGAAGGAGCGAAGGCAAAGCATTTTGCAGCAGAAGTTGAGCCACCCTGCCACCAGTATGCCGTGACTAGATGCGACTAGGCCAAACCAGACCACAGCTGGCAGCAGGACAACAGGACAACAGGACGTTAATGAGGTATCAAGATAAGCAATAGCTACATACGTTTGCGTTTAATTATCTTTTTTCATCAATGCTTTTTGGGGTCAATCAAAGTCAGTTGACTAATGCATAAACAATGAAAGGCTTTTAGTGTGACAATAGCTAAATGGCCACAACAGAAGGCGAGTTTTACTCAAAAGCGATTGTGTTGCGGCACAGTTGATTAGTTGCAAAAGTTGCGTGGCACGTTGCAGGGTTTGGCTCCCGAGCTATGTTCCTGAAACGAAAATGCCGTATGAGAAAAAGGAGCACACGGCTGTGATGACCTCGCGGCAACGGTTGATCGAGACTTTGGTCATCTTTCGTCGCAGCCTCATTTACCAAACGAAGGAGTTTTTCCAGAACTCAACACTGCATGGCGTGCGATACATTGCGGAGACGGGCCGACCCATTGGCGAGAAGTTCATGTGGTTCTGTTTCACCTCGATTGGTGCTGTCACTGCCCTGGTCATTATCATGAGCCTGTGGGAGAAGTTTCAAACTAATCCCACCATTACCGGTCTTGACACGGATTTTCACAATCAGAACGTTGTCTTTCCAACGACGGTGGTCTGTCCGGAAACGGCTTACGATCATGGTAAAGCGTACGAAGAGGTCTACAAGTCCCTGGCGTAAGTGGTCAGTCGACCTGGTTGTAATCACACTGTCATGAGCCTTCATCCCACTCTTTTCCCAGCAATTACGACGCGGACAAGGCTCAGCAGATTACGCCCTTTTTGAATCAGCTTACTTCGCTCAATTTTGACAATATCCGTGAAGCGGGAGTGCTCGCAGAGGGTATACCTGCGGAGCTGCTGGCGGAGCACACCTTACGCGATTGGGCCTTTCGAGCGCAAACTCCATGTGAGAATACGCTGAATTCCTGCAAGTATCGGGACGAGGATATTGTCTGCTGCGATCACTTTCAGCCAATTTACACGGAACACGGCTTCTGCTACGCCTTCAATAGTCGCTTCATGTCAACGGCTACCGAGGAGTAAGTCACCCACATCAATCATGCCTTAGCTATCGGCAGTTAATCTGTATTTAAGCTCTAAGACTGGCCCGCCGCACGATCTCTATGAAACGGACAAGAAATGGGCTCTATTCTTTCTACCCAACAGCACCTCTCGGGTAAGTTCGCTTTCTGTGTGAATATGAACCTTAAGCATTGATCGTTGCCTTGAAGATATTTATATTCTCGAACGAAGAGTACTTTGGCTCCGATTTCAATGCCCAAATCGACTGGACTGACGACCAGTTGGTGGAAGTGCGCATCTCCAAGAAGAATACCTACACCACGGACGATGCCCGCCAGCTGTCGATTGGCCAACGCAAGTGCATCTTTAGCGACGAAGTGAAGCTAAACTATTTCCCAGATGCCTACACCTTCTCGTCCTGCATGAAGCAGTGCCGCATGACCAAGGCCATAAAGCTGTGCAAATGCAATCCGTCCTTCTACAAGCCTATATGTGAGTCAGACTCACAATTCTTGGGGACTCTTATTCAAGCTGGTTCATCTTTCGCAATTAGCTAATGTACCCATGTGTGCGGTCAAGGACTTTGCCTGCCTTAATGAATACAAGCTGAATATAACCAACATTAAGGACTGCCTGCAGTGCGAGCTGAGCTGCTCCAAAACGGTTTTCAACATAGACAAGCTGATGAAATTGTAAAGTGTTCATGGAGGTCATTGAATGTTCCGCTCTTTAATATTTCCTTTACTTACTGCTGCCACAAAGCATGGATCGTGCCGAAGCATCCGGCGTCCTGGTGGAGTTTCTTACTTGGCCCATCATTCGCTACAAGCGTGAGGTGCTCTTCGGCTGGGTGGATTTGCTGGTCTCCTTCGGCGGCATCGCAAGTCTGTTTCTTGGCTTCTCGCTGCTCTCCGGCGTGGAGATCATTTACTATTTTACGCTGCGCGCATGCTGCATGGTCTATAAGAATAGGGTAAGCTGCTGCCTGGCTTTACTGGGTTTTTCTTGATGTTGTTAACTTTATGTAGCAAGAGCTGTATGAAATTGAGCAGCGTATTAGGCACGAGCCGCCGCCAGCCATTGATCTACAACTGAAGCTGAAGTCTCACTCGAAGCCGGCGAATAGCCAAACCTCTTCGGCCGTGTTGCAGGTGCAACCAGCGGATACGCAAAACGTGGATCTGTACAGCTTGTCCCGTCAGCGAAAGAGCGAAAAAGTGAGCATATTCTATATATAATGACTTCTGAGATGTTAGACTTCTTTGCGGTTGCCTTCCAGGACTACTTGAACTACTCGAAGAGCTTGTATCGCACGCCCAAAGTACTGCCCGATCATGGGTATGCCAGCAGTAAGGACAAATGGCAATTCGATCATGGACAATATCTACCCTGAAACTGAAACATTCAACTGACCCCGAATCCCCCCAGACGACTACACGACAGCAGTTATTGCAGACAATGGAATAGGAGAACTTGAACTTCGAGCAAATGATATTACGATATCCAAAAATCCATACAAAAATATTTTTTTTGACAAGCTTTAAATATATAATGTCATATTAGCCTACTATGCACTGCTTCTACAAAATACCAATTTACAAGCCGCTACATTTAATCGATATACATATATCTTTATATATCCTAATGGGTTTCATATACTTACGTGCACCTCCAACATAAATAATAAACAATTTTTTTTCCAATCAAATACTTACGGCCGTATATGCTTTCCCAATTAAAGAACTTTCGTATTTAGTTGGCAGCAAGTTCAGTGCACTATGCCCCCACGGACAGGGGGTAGCAGCAAGAACAGTTACTAACCACCAACGGGAGCGCTGGCTGCAGCTCAGACCCCCCCTCACCATCAGAGCTGCCTCCGTAAGGCAACCCCAAAAGCCCAACACAAATGCTAACCCAACTTCCCGTCAACAGCCGAAGTGAAAAGCATTTTTCAGTTAACATCGCTGCTGGCTCATTGTACGCAAGCCCCGACAAACGCCGCCATCTTCCAGCCCATGCTTTGTGCAACCCCTTCACTTCAGGCGCCAACAGGTGGAGGAGCCACGGGTAGCGGGCAACGTTCGGTTGTAGTTGTAATTGCAGTTGTAAGTCGCGTAGTAGTACTCACTGTACTGTGCGACCTCGCCTGCCTGCCATTCAGGCCTACTTCCCTTCCACCTCCCGCCCACTCCCGGCCGCAGCTGCTGTCGCATTCGCATGCCTGGAAATGAATGAAAGCCAAAGTCGCCGCATAGTTTATTTGTTAATATGCGCATGAATGGCGGCTTATTTTCCTAGTGCCGCGTGCTTCACTACGGTAGAGGGCGGCCCATTCCGCGGCCAGACCGCGGCGGCAGTCCGACTGCCACAGGAGCTGATCTCTACTCGAGTCCAAAAAAAGTAAAACAAATAAACCAAAATTTAAAGTTAAGAGCATTGACAGTGCAAACAAACAAAAACCAATGGAGCGATTGCGCCTGCAAGCGACGACAATGAAAGGATGTTAACGGAGGGCGGCAGCATGTCAACAATGCGCACACGACCTCCCCTCACGAGCAGCCGCACGCCCACACAGACGCCGACGGGGGCAGAAGGCGACGAGGGGGCATTGGCACACGCATGCATAAATAAATTTAGCAAAGTTAATTGAAATAATTACGTTTCGTTCTGGTTTGGGTTCGGTTTGTTGTTTCGAGTTCCGTGTCTGTGGCTGAGCACAACAAATAAAAGCGAGTTGGGCCATAACCGACTGTCCAATACTCGGCCACAGCTCGTTGTACAGCTTATGTATTATATTCAAACATGTAATTGGTAAACTTATTGGTTAAAGATCGATCTTGATGTCTATAAGTTACAGGCCTCAAAAGCATTTCACAAAAAGCCAATATACCCTTTTCACTTTGTGAACAACAGTCGCAAGTTGTCGTGACTATTGAGATATGCAGCTTGATATTTTTTTACCCTAGAATTGAATATCCTTGGTTTAAGGCAAAAGTGATTCTTAAGCTTTGGTAGAGATTTCATACATCCTTAATCGAGACAATGAGTTGAGTTTGTTAACTCTTATGCCTTAGTTAATTGATTAATCGTTCATTAATATCTGGCAAAATAATAGATAACATAAATATAACTAACTAAATTATATGCATAGTATTTACACAGTTTGTCCTCATTGGTAATAAATGTAATTCGTTAAGGGTATTGTGGACGATGGTAAGATGCATTGGCTGCTGCTGCTACAGCTACAGCTACCGCTACAGCTACCTCTACAGCTCAAGGAAGTTTCAATGTTCACTTCATTTCGTTGTTTTCTCGCGTCGGCTGACGGGGCGTATGCGCGATATACAACAACGGCGACTGCGGTGGCGGCGCGAGTGCTAACGGATGCGGAAACGGAACGGATGTTGGGCACAGTGTGTAATGGCTATGAAAAAATTGTACTTGTGTGAAATGCGCAGCGACAACAACAACAACAACAAGAAACGGAAAATCCAAGCGAAGAAAACTGCGGCCGGCAGATGAGCAAATCGCACGGCTGCGGAACAGAGCAACAGCAAGGCCAAGGATAAGGGCTGGAGGGATGCATCTGATAGACAGCTTAATTAAGATTACAAGGATAATGCGCAAATTAAGACGCAGCGTCATTAAAGCAAGAAAGCTTAAAACTTTTTAACAACTTTTTTTTTTATATCTTAATTCAAATTAAGTGCCGTTGTGCTTTTTTTGGTAGAACTATTGCTCGTATTAGTGTTTCCTCGGCTCTTTTCTACGGCTTCAGATGCTCAAAAACTGAATATAGTTTTCGTTGATTTTACTGAATTGAATTTGTAAGCAGCAGAGCGAGGCACTTGTCGTATCGAAAGTTAGTTCATTGGCAACAAGAACAATTACATTAAGCTGCCACTACAACAAGAGCAGCATCACAACCATTGCGAGGGTTGCTCAAGGGCTAGTGTGAAACTACTAAATAACTACTGAATATCTCTACTTAACTATTACGAGGCACCAGAAGGCGTAGCAGCTATGAATCAGTCTGATTTTCAAAATCGCAGAGAAGGACGAAGCACGCAGTCAGTAAGGTAGATGAATATACAACTGATTAATCCATCTTATTCAACAGCTCACATACATATGTATATATATGCTCTTTATATTATTGAAGCAAGCTGCTATAAGCCCACCTCGCGCTTGGGCCAGCAACCGCAAGCAGCTTCGGAGGCCAATGGCAACTAAATCCATTTGGAACAGACAATATGGCAAGTGGTTCGCATCCGCTGAACGAGCGAGGTGATGGCAATGTGGGGACCGTCTGTGAGTGGGACTGGTTCCGGGGCCAAGAAGCAATGGTTGCATCCGATGCGAAGGACGAGGACGTGACCAATGCTTCTCTATTGCTGTTCATGCATTGATTGGCTGCGATGCACATTGTCTTTTTGACCGTTGCAAAGAGTCAATGCAATGCCAAAAGCCGAATGCGAATGCTAAAAACAAAAGTAAATGCTTTACACAAGTTTGTGTGTGTTTGCCTCTGTGTGTGTGTGCGTGTGTGTGTGTGTTCGAGTGCGTGCATGTGATCTGCTTGCTGCGATTAGAAAATGATTTACACCTTTTGGTATGCTGACTGCAGAAATAACAGGGACAGTGGTTGGGCCGGGCGGCGGCAGAAGGAGGCGGGCAGGGAGCCAACGACACGGAGCGTCGCGTCGGCTTGGAAAGGCTTGCACAGAGCCGGCACAGAGCTGTGCAGACTTGGACTATCTCGGGAGTTGGACATGCTGCGCAGTCTCGTTCTATGCAATTACACATTTTATTATTATTAACGTTAATGTCGCCCATGGGACGGCTCTGACGCCCGCTGTCAGCTCCCGGCACCCGACTGCCGACGAACGAGACTAGCAACCAACAACTAGCAGCTCCACATAAAAGGCGCTTATTAATAAGAAATTGCAATAAACTACAACTACAACTACAACTATAACTACAACTACAAATACAACTGCTGCAACATACGTAACTACAACTACAGCTGAAACTGCAACTGTGAGCGTCGCGTCGTTGGCAAAGTCTTTGGGCAACTTGCTGGAGTTAAACCCAAAAGTTCATCATCTCGTGAGATAATAAAAGTTGGTCAAACTCTAAATAAAAACAAATTAAATGTCATCTATTATTGTTAACAATTATTATTTTTAGATTTACTTTACTTTTATAAATAATGAAATATATCTTTGCCCAGTAGTGCCCAAAATAATGAAAATAATATGCCATTGCTTATAATTTATAATATTTTAGTCCAAGTATAGACCATAGACCATAGAGGCAAATTATTATCACTTTTTGAGAAATCTTTCTGAACTTAGATTTGTGAAACTTGAAATATTGAAAATTTTATTTTTGTGTATTTTCCAGATACTTTTCAAATAAAATTATAAAATTCGATTCATGTGATAAATATTTAATCTGAATAGCTTTAAAATTATTTAATTCATATAAAATTATGTTTAATTTAATAGTAAGCAAAATATATTAATTACAGATATTTACATCATATTTAGATATTTTATACATCATGATTTACTTAATTTATTTAATTTACTTGCGTTGAACAAGCAAGATCAGAAAAAAAGAGAGTGAGTGAGACAGAGAGAGAGGGGGATAGTGAGAGAGTGAAAGAGAAAGAGAGAGAGAGAGAGATGGCCTGACAGAGAGAGAGAGAGAGAGAGAGAGAGAGAGAGAGAGAGAGAGAGAGAGAGAGAGAGAGAGAGAGAGAGAGAGAGAGAGAGAGAGATGGAGATGGTCTGACAGAGAGAGAGAGAGAGAGCGAGCAGAAGCATCTGAGACCAAAGCCGGCGAATCCGCGGGAAACAACAAAAGGCGCGAAAATGTCACAAACAGCTGGCCGAGTGGCAGCAAGCAAAGAGAAAGAGAGAGAGCGAGAGAGCGCGATAGAAAAGGAGAGAGAGAGAGATTCGCACTGTTTGCTGCGCTTTCTGCATTAAGTAAATCAAGCAGGCGACATCAGCATTGAGTCCGACGCCAACGACGACGACGACGACGACGAGGAACACTACGACGCTTAACATATTTTATGAAGTTGAAAACCAGTAATAAAGTAGGAAGCGTTGCCAGCTGCAATACACACACTCACACCCACATGCTCTCTTTCTCGCTCTGTCTTACAGTCTTCGCTGCACAGACGTTACATTTAGTGGGGTTGCTGTAACGTAACGTTAGCTCATCCCCTGCCCGCCGCCAGGCCAATGCGAAACGTGAGCATGCCTAAAGTCCAGTGCCGTATTAAGCATAATGCGGGTGCTCGATACGTAAAGGCGTATGCGCAATGTACAGACATAGGATATGCAGACTAGTAGTATCAGGAGATGCCTTGTGGCCTGCACAAGTATTCATATGTTCATACACATATCCATGTATAATATATCTAAGTCCAAAGTTTAGTTATTCGTGTATTTTGGTGGCTATTGAAATCTGTGTATTCAGTAGGAGTGGCTAGATAGCCCCTGCATTGCTTACAATTCGAATTGATTTTAAGTTTCATTTCATTAACTGTCGTTCAATAAGGTCTTTGAAGGCTGCTTGCGCCTATTCCCGCAGCTGGCTCAACCGCTCCTGCCAGCTTGCAGCGGCTCAAATGTGCGCCTAACAAAATGCTGGTTTAACTTTTGCGTTGTGTTGCATTTTGGCGGCGTTAAACGTATACGTAATATGCCGCCCACTCCCCGCTCTTTGCCATTTCTTTCGCTATTGCCCTCGCTTTCTCTCGCACATATTCTCTCTCTCTCTCTCTCTCTTTCAGTCGCTCGTGGCTGTCACATTTTGTTTGCCGAGGAGAGCAGCGCGCGCGCGTCACTAGCTGACTAGTTGGCTCAGTAGATGGCTTCTCTTCAAGCTCGTTAATGTTGTTTGTTCGTTTGTTCGTTTGCTCGTTTGTTTGCTAGCTTCAGCTTTAGCTTTAGTTTGCTTGTTCTTGTTCCTTTTGCACTCTGTTCGTACACACTTACACACACACAGGCACACACGCAGAAGCAAGCTTGGTCACTCACACAGCGGCAACTGAATTGCATGCTGTTGCTGTTGCTCTTGCTGCTACTGCTGTTGCTGTTGCTGTTGCTGTTGCTGTTGCCGCTGCTGTTGCTGCTGCTGCTCGCTGGCGTCCTCGTTGGAGTCAGTTGGATTTGTGTGCTGCTCGCGTGAGGACGTGCCATAACAGCCGCCGTACACTAATCGGAAAACGCAATCAAATTCGCAATCGCATTCGCAGTCGTATTCATAGTCGAGACTCGTACTTCGGTGTTCTTGTCGTAGTCGTTGTTGTTCTTGGCCCCATAGTTTGGCCAGATCTATGTAGGGCCAGAGCCTGCTTCGCTATCGGCGCGATCTTCGTGCGACAGCAGCGCCAATAACATCGAACGTTCTCTGCAGTTTGCATTGCGTTGCGTTGCGTTGCGTTGCGTTGCGTTGCCTTGCCTTGCCTTGCCTTGCCTTTCGGCTTCATCTTAGCATAAAGTGAAATATTATATTTTAATTTTGTGCTCTACCCCACCTCTGACCGCCCCTCCCCATCAGTCAATCGGTAGCGTACGTGTGCGTGTGTGT